CCTTTGATATTTTTAGGCTTATAATATTTAGACTTCTTAAGTTTAAAATATTATACTTAAACAAAAAATAATCTAATTAAAAATAAAATATCAAATATTTTAAATTTTACAACTAAAATTCATATTCTATTATATGATTTATTGAAATAAAATCAACGATAAAAATCTAATTTTTTCTTAAAAAAAATATTATTAGTATATAATTATATTATCTATTAGAATAAATCTAAAAAACTAAATAAGAGGTCAAACCAGAATAGATACAATATCTTCTAATTTGATTATTTAATAGATTCCGTTAGTTATTTAACTAATAAGTTGTCTAAATATAATATTTAAATTGAGGGGTCTAAGTGCTATATATCTATAAATTTTAGGAGGTTTAAATATAATTTATTAACGAACATTGAGTGTAAAGGTCTAAATATTACGTGAGTATAAATCTTAAGGTATTTGTGTGTAATATTTTAAATATCAGATGATTTAAGTGATTAAATGACAAATTTCAAAAAATCTTGTCGCAATTCTCCCAATTTTGTAAACAACCTTAACAAGCTGTGAAAATTTCAAAGGGAGAGAGATTACAGAGTGCCGGGTGGTCATTGGCTTGCCCAACCCTGCTGGAAAATACAAACTTGACCGAGAAGATATAGAAGCTAGGATTTGGCAGTTTTCCACCTATATACAGGAGAAGGACCACCTATTGGCTGATTCCCCACTGTATCAATTTCATTTGTTACTTTGATCTACCAAACCCCATTGGTAGCTTTAATCTACCAACCCCATTGTTAGTTGAATGGCAGCTCACTCGTAAGATAGGAGTTTAAATATTTCACAAAGTATAATTTTTTGGGATCAATGCCTATAAATTTATTCTTTTATGTGAAAAGACAAATTTACACAAAAGTCTAACATTAATTTAGTACGTGGGAGAATTAAAAGTAAAATTATTTATTTGCATTTATTGCATCATATTCAAATAAAAACTAAAAGTGACTAATAAAAAAAAACTAACTATACCCTTTTATAAAGTTGTGCAGTTAATTATAACTTTTGCCACTGACCATGTTGAGTTTTCACAGTCGAAAGCAAAACTAAGTGGGGATGTGCATGTCATAAGATTTTGGTTGAAGAAAATCTTTGGGTTTTTTTAGTTCAATAAAATAAAAAATTCTGTTAAAAAAGAAAACAGAAATGGAAGGCTTCTAAATATTCCTTCTACTAATTTGTTTGTTATAATAATCTTTGATGGGCCTGGCTCAGATTAGGCCCAATTTAAAAATGCAGATCAAGCCCAACTTAAATATATATGTCAAGTCTACCACAGGATCTAAGAAGTTTAGTTGGATCAGTTTTGTCATCTTAAGAAACTCGGTCCTCAATTGATACAAGAGAAGATCTCTGTAAAACGCAATCATCAGGTACATGACGTCACCTCTACAGAATTGTCTTGCCTACGACGAGAATGATGCTATCTCCGCCGAACTGTCTCACCTGTTATAAGAGTGACGCCTCAATCTGTTACGAGGCGTCAATAAACTGTAAATCTCATCTACACATGAGGGCATCACTCATATCTGAGCATTCGACACTCTTTGAACAATAAAACATTCAATTCATCGTAACCTTTCATAATAGAGTAGGTCACCCTGACCGAACTATTTAATTCGTATTTGCTTGTATTGAGTTTTCTTCTTAATTACTACATTAAATACTTAACAGGTGGTACATAAATATATTTTGTGCATCATCAATATTAATAGATTTCAATATACAATTTTACCATTACTCTAGAGTTTGGGAACAATCACATTTATGTATCTTTATCTCGTGTGACCAAACGTGGAATTCTCGTGTCACAATGAAACAGTTGTACAAAATATCTATTCGTTAGTGATTTCTTCAAAAATATTAAGTGTTTTTGCCCCTCTTTTATTGCAGTGGTTGCAATTTTGTGCAGTATAACTAAACAGTGCTCAGTATGCAACCAACTGGACGGCATGAATTTGTAAGGAAGGAGAGTTGAAAGAGTAACAGATTGTTCTTAGGAGTAACTATATGCCCCCCTTTCTTTCTCTCAATTGGCTACATATTTATACCAACAAAAGAAGGGCCATGTGAAGATGGCCCAATCTAATCCAATCCAATCCAATTCAAATGGGATAAGCCGGTCTTGCCATTGAATGGTTGTGAAGGCCTTATTGTCTCAACCAGCTATTTCATCATGCTGCTGCTTAAGGGTTTGGGGTTTTTCCCAAAATAATAGCTGAGACGCAAAAGCATAGGACAGCTAATGTCTCAACCAGTTATTTCGTATCATATTAAAGGTATTAATTAATACCATATCCAATATCAAGGTGTGAAATTTAGTTATTAGAAAATTTGTCCAAAAAAACTCAACATCTATATGGTAAAGGACAACATAAAAAATATTTTTATTTTTTGCAAATTATTTTAAATTTTACTTTAAAATTTATTTGACGGTTAATATAAACTCTCTAAATTTAATAAGAAAAATGAGTTCCCTAAGGATTTGTTTGCTTTTAGGATGACTTTTCAAAAAAAGCAATGTTATAGGGACCTTAGTTAAGTATCTAATGATATGACTTCAATGCAACAATTAGATTAGTCATGAGTTCCGATGTTAGACAGAATTCACAACCAATCCAATGATTATACATTATTAGGTCCCTAAATTAGGTTCAAATAACATTTTTCTTTCAAAAATTTTTCTAAAACTTATAACTTCTCATAAGCGCTTTTAAAAAAAAATAGAACAATTTATTTTAATTACTTTCAAATAAGTTAAAAGTAATTTTACTACTTAAATAAGTAAGTAAAAGTAAAAAACCTTCTACTTCTTTAAAATTACTTATTTACAAACTCTTCACCACCACCACCGTTGCCGCCACTCCCCTACCCTCATCGCTATCACCACCCCCGCCACCACCATCATTATCATCTTATTCTTATATTTGTTACTACCATCACCACCACCCACCATCACCATCGTTGCCCATAATCACCCACGACCATAACTCACCATTATCGCCACCGTTGTCATCCACTATCACCCACCCACCCCCACTACCACCGCCATTTGCCACCACTCATCACCATTGTCGCCCACTATTATTGTCGTCACTCATGGTTGTTACTACCACTATCGTTATTCAAAACCTACCATTAAAATCATTGTTGCCACCACAACAACGATCATCATCGCCCACAATAACTATCACCATCTCTCAACATCACCACTGTTCCACACCATCACTACCATTACTCACCCTCACTACAACTAATATTTAAATTCTTTTTTTTCTTCTATATATTTATGATTAAATTTTTTTTGTTACTTTGTAACTTCAAATACGAACAATCACTAATATTTATACAAATAATAAGCATGTCAAATTAACATAAAAGACAAATAGCCTGATTTTTAGTGACATTTATTGGGATAATTGTAAGTTGTACCCTGAAAGATAGTTGAAATCTCAAATTACACCCTCAAAGATCAAAAATTTTAATTTTCACCCTCAAAAATAGAAATTTATATCAATGTGCACCTAAAACTAAATTGATAAATTATATCTAGATCTCCTAATACTTGTCACTTAATCATTTAAATCCTTTCACATTTAGAATATTACTCCTACATCTCATAACGTTTGTGCACACGTAACACGTAACCTCTCTTCATTGATATCTGTTAATATAATCGTTAAAAAATATGATTTTATCCTAATAAAAAATTATAATGTCCAATGGTAAGTTTGATTTTAAATTTTAGAGTATATCGAACTCACAAAATAAAGGGTAATATAAAATTATAATTTTTTATTAAGATAAAATCATATTTTTTAACAATTATATAAATAGTTATCAATGAAAAGAGATTACGTGTTACATGTGTACAAACGTCATGAGATGTAGGAGTAATATTCTAAATGTGAAGGGGTCCAAATGATTAAGTGACAAGCATGAGGGAATCTAAATATAATTTATCAATTTAGTTTTAAGTACATATTGATACAAATTTCTATTTTTGAGAATACAAATTGAGATTTTTATCTTTGGGGGTACACATTGCTACAAATTTCTATCTTTGAGGGTACAAATTTAGATTTTTGATTTTTGGGGGTGTAATTTGAGATTCCAACTATCTTTCAGAGTGCAACTTGCAATTAACCCACATTTATTTGAGAAGTATTGTGTACAAAAATGTGTATTTTATGTTAATTTGACATGCTTATTAATTATTTATATAGTGTGTTACTCGTTCACAAATTTGAGAAGATTTGATAAATTACCTATACAAATCTAAAATGAAACGATGCAACACAACAAGATTTCCATCTAGATTTGATAAATTACCTATACAAATCTAAAATAAAACGATGCAACACGACAAGATTTCCATCTACTGCATAGTTTACTAAATTATATTACCGTGCAATCTTATATTTTGATCCGGAATCAACCCCCTTATTAATGCACTGCATATTGATCAAGGGGACAGCTATTATAGAAACCTATTCAAAGATAGCTCATGAATATGCCTTTAACTTGAAATAGAGATAATCCATATTTTACAGTTGCTTTGGCATTTTTAGTACTAAAATTTGCTACTTTAATGAATTACTGACCTATATTTTTATCTTCATATTAGAAGGAAAAAAAACATACATAAATCTGCTCCTCAACTTTCAACAAGAAAATAAAAATTTATCATATGATGTGATAAATATCCCCCATTGGTCGCAAATATAATCTTAACAAGCAACACCATCTGTTGAAATTCTCATATGCACAGTTTGGATTTGAGTGGAAGATAGCAGAAAATTTTGAGGCTCGAGTGTGCCTTATTATATAATGGATACTAGTCCTTATTGCTGCAAGTGATCCTAACCTGCCCAAAGCTTCCCAATCGTACATTAGTGTGACTGATTCCTTAAAATCCCTATGGATCTGTTTGGTTTTCCGGACCAGTTGTTGCAAGTTTGTTGACTAGAGCCAGTGCATTGCTAGTGATACAAGTCATGTTTGTAACTCGATTTTGCAATAAATTCACCTGGTTAATTTCCTCTTTGTCATCAAACCCATCCAAGCACGTGTCTTCATCTGTAAGAGCCGCACTCATCCACGTGATTACATCCCCCATTTGGTCGTTAAATGTCATGTCATTAAGCTTTCTTAGAACACCAAGTGATCTGTGAAGGTTGTCCAGTGTGTCCTCCAAACACTCGATGCAGTCCGAAAGAACAGCTCGATCTCTTCCCCTCATAGAATTACTTCTGTTCAATTTCAGCAAGTACTCAAACACTGTCTTGGCTTCACTTATTGTCACAGAAACCCCAGCCCTTGCCCATTTACTTGGGTTTCTTTTAGCCTTGTTTGAAAATGGTGCGAGCGAGTGGATGCAAAGATCGCGGTATTGAGTCACGCTACATGCATCTCGAACATAGCTGTCACCATTTTTAGAAGATTCTGATGAGCATAAAGGTGTTAACCATGAGACGAGAACCAAGGTCATGAAGACGTTGACAGACGCCATTTCAATTATTGGAAAGAAAACAATAGCACTGAAACTAGCCTAACTAAACCATATGGAATTATCAGAATGTGGATGTATTTTGTGAGCTTTGAAGTGAAAAACTTATCAGGGTGAGCTTTTAAAGAAAGGGTTTTGAATGAGGTGGAAAGGGAGGGTTGAAGCTTTTTCTGAGTTTGGTAGAAAAGCAAGGAGGTGGTGAGTGCTATAAAGAGTGGGAAGTGGTGGTTCTGGTGAAATGCGATGGGAAAGAAAATGAAGATCATGTGAAGGGGCGGTGAGTTTCTCGTGAATTTTGGAGGAAGAAGATCCTTAAGGATTCTTCTCTAGCTGATCAGACCTTCTGCTAAGGTTCTTGTTATCTCTCTCTCTCTTTTTTTTTTCCTATGCGATAATTGCCCAGTGATAGCTTCGTCATTTGATGCAAGTATCTCACCAATTAGATCATGACTGATGGACGTACTCGGTTCTAAAGGTGGAAAAGGGTTGATGTACATAATCTTACTTTTATAAACAGAAAAAATATTTTAACCAAATTAATTTTACCGTTATACCAAAGTTGGCTCAATACACCATATCTAATACTATTTGGATGTGTGAGCAAGAAAACACAGCATTGTGATCCACTAGAATAGTTGAGTAAAAAAAAAAAAAGAAAAATACTATTTAAAGCTAAAAATTTGACATAATTTGTTGATCTAATAATGTGGCTTCATTGAAATTATTGGATAAATACCAAGTTCCAATATTTAATAGAGTTCACAATTAATTCAAATGTTATAGTGAATTAGATCAGCAAATTAAGTCAATAAATTAAGTGCCAAATAGCATTGATAAAAAAAAATAGTTGTAAAGCTTTCGTTTTGTGAGAAAAATTTTGGGTTAATTATAAATTGCACTCTGAAAGTTGGTTCGAATTTTAATTTGTACCCCCAAAGATAAAAAATTTCAATTTACAACCTCTAAGAAAGAAATTTATATCAATGTGCATCCCCAAAGATCAAAAATCTCAATTTACACCCTCAAAGATAGAAATGTGTATCAATGTGTACCCCTAAAGATCAAAAATCTCAATTTGCACCCTAAAATATAGAAATTTGTATCAATGTACACCTAAAACTAATCGCCGTCAGTTTACTGCCTAAAATTAAATTGATAAATTATATCTAGATCCCCTCACACTTGTCACTTAATCATTTGAATCTTTTTACATTTAGAATATTATTCTTACATCTCATGACGTTTGTGCACGTGTAACACAAAACCTTTTTTAATTGATATCTGTTAATATAACCGTTAAAAAATATGATTTGATCCTAATAAAAAATTATAATTTCATATTACCTTTTATTTTGTGGGTCCGATATACTCTAAAATTCAAAATTAAGCTTACAATTTGAATGTCTAATGGAATGTAGGTAGTTGTATAATATTTTTTATATTCAATGCAATATATCACTTAAACATAATTATTTAAATACCCAATTGACAGCACATTTTAGATTGAGAGTATTTTTATTAGAATTTTATAACTATTAAAAAATATGATTTTATTCTAATACAAAATTATAATTTCATATTACCCTTTATTTTGTGAAAGGGTCCAAATGATTAAATGACAAGCATGAAAGGACCTACATATAATTTATCAATTTAGTTTCAGGCAGCAAATTGACGGCAGTTAGTTTTAGGTGCACATTGATACAAATTTATACCTTTGAGGGTGTAAATTGAGATTTTTAATCTTTGGAGGTACACATTCATACAACTTTCTATTTTTGAGGGTATAAATTAAAATTTTTGATCTTTGGGAGTGAAAATTGATATTCGAACTATCTTTCAGGATGCAATTTACGATTAACCCAAATTATCCCATCTAAATACCGATCCTTAAGATAGCCATTGTGTGAGCATCATGTGAAAACTTAGGTGGATTAAGTCGAATCCCAAAAAAAATTGGTACTATGACCAGAGATGTTAAATACATACTCATGTTGAGTTTCTATCAAAAAAATTAGCACCCGATTAACTAGTTTCGGCTAATATATAACAAGATACGTAAATGTGAAGCTAGGGTTGGGACATTTCCTTCATCTGGGTCACTCTCAATTTCTTCCGTCCAGCTTCTCCCTCTATCGTATTCAAAGTCCGATCCTTCTTCTTCTTCTCTGTGTAACTGATTTGTTGAGCGGTAGGTCTCGTATAGTGCATATAGTTTGAGGATAAGGTGTTTGATGAATTGAGTAGTTGAACAATGGGAAGATGTGGAAGTGATTAACTTTTGAAGGAGTGTGTGTGACGGCAACCCAAAAAAGAGCTCTGACTGAACCCGACAATAAGCCCAAATCTATTTTTAATTAATAGTTATGAATTATTTAGTTTGAAATTAATGAATTTAATTAATAGAGACAGTACCAAAATGTATGCCAACTAAGTTTGTCAATAGATTAATTTTTTATCCAAATTCGATTATATCCATTCCAAATATATAAATATTGAAAAAACTAAGGAATTAAGTAAAGAAATTTAGATATTTAACAAATTTAGTTAAATTAAGTTATTCAGATTTGATTGAATTTTCAAAACAAATTTAAAATTTATAATAGATACAGATTTCAATTATAAAAATAAAATTCATCAAATAATCGAATTAAATTTGGATCAAATTTATAAAATTAAATTCGAATCTGAATCATTAAAAATTTGAATTTTTGACAACCCTTAAAATACCTACAAATATTTGGGCCTGATTATTTGAGAAAATTTGGGGTCTGATTCACTTTTGTAGGCTTGTTTGACGAAAAGTTCACGCAAAAATTTTATTTGAATTTAAAGTCCATTCCAATCCCTAGCGTCTGTGTTTTTTTTTTTTTTTAAATTAGGGCCTAAAGCCCGTATTTTAGAGGTCATATCTGTGGGCCGACCGGCCTTGATTAAAACCCTAAAGCTCAACCCCTGGTTTATCACCAGCCTCTCCACCACAGTCGGCCGTTTTACCCTCCGAACAGTAGCAGTCGGCCGTTCTCTCTCTCTCTCTCTCGATTCGGAACAGTAGCAGTAGAAACGCTGACCTGATGGCTCGTTTTCGAAATGTAAGCGATTCCTCTTTGTTTATGATCTCTTTGCAACCGAAAGGAGCTTATAGTAATTGATAGTTTTTGTGTCGTATGATTAATATTAATATGTGTGTGAATTGAATCAGAAGAAGAGAAAGGATTTTGTTAAGCCGGTTGTGAAGAAGCAACAGCCGAGTGTCGATCATATAACAGGCGACAAGATTCCAAAGAGCTTCGTATTTTCGAGAGGGAAGATGCCTGGGTCTCTGAGACAACTGCAAATGGACTTGAGAAAGCTGATGCTTCCTTATACTGCCCTCAAGCTTAAGGTAAATCTCATCCTTCCCTGTTCTTTGAATCAAATAAGTTTGGCTCATAGTTAAGGTGTGTATTCAAAGTAGAGCAATGGCTTAACCTTGTTGGCCTTTTGGATAGTTATGAATCACATATTTCAGTAGAATATGTAGTTGATTGGTAGTTCTGAAATTGATGGCTGTCTTTCGTAAGCAATATTTGGTTTCCGTTCTGATTATTCTTTCTAACCACCAAAGTGGGTAAAATTTTTCTGATGTAACATATCTTATTCCTGCAATAAGGAGCACAGGCTTTTGGAGGTTACATTTTGAATACTGCTATAAGGCCCCTATGCTGTATTTTTTGTGCCATTAGGTTTTGAATGTGTAAGTTTGTGCTTATTTGATTGGTTTTCAATTGCAGGAAAAGAAGCGAAATAATCTCAAGGACTACTTGAATGTTGCAGGGCCAATGGGTGTTACACATTTCCTCATACTATCAAAAACTGAAACTGCACCGTACTTGAGGGTTGCGAGGACGCCACAGGGCCCAACACTTACATTCAAAGTACATGAGTACTCATTGGCTGTTGATATAGCTCAATCCCAGTTGCGACCCAGATGTCCTCAAGATCTCTTCAAGAATGCACCCTTGGTAATTTTTAATCAGCACATATGTAATATTCATGCACATGACCCACACCCACACTCACATGTACATGTTCTCCTTACTGTTTCAATCAATTCCATGTCGTTATGGTGTCAGTATTATATGCATTGGCCAATGGCCAAGGAATGTTTAGATATTGGCCACTGACAACAAATTGTGCACACTGCTTCTCTTGGTATCACCATGATGTTGTCATATGTAATAGAAGTTTGAATTGAATTTGGCAGATTGTGCTATCTGGTTTTGGGACTGGGGAGCAACATTTAAAGCTCACAACAATTATGTTTCAGAACATTTTCCCAGCCATTGATATCAACACTGTGAGTGACTATATAGCATCAATCAAATATCGCTATCAGCTTGTCTACTGCCATTTCTTTAATATGTTGCATATGTGCAGGTCAAACTTTCTTCATGCCAGAGAATTGTGTTACTTAATTACAATAAGGAGACAAAGCTTATTGATTTTCGGCATTATTCCATTAGATTACAGCCAGTCGGCGTCTCACGTAGGATTAGAAAATTTGTGCAGAACCATCAAGTGCCCGATTTAAGAAGGCTACAAGATGTGAGTGACTTTGTGACAAAGTATGTATCTCTCTCTCTCTCTCTCTCTCTCTCACACCCACACACACACACACGCATACAACACACATAGGCTCACAGTTTTGAGTGGCCGGAGTTGATGGAAGTGCAGGTGTATGTTGTATTATCAGACACAAATTTGTGGGTTATTTCTACTGTTTTTTTGTTCTGTGGTTATTCGCTGAGGTCAAGTTATTAGAGCTTCATTTATCATGTCATCATTTATTGTTGCAGTATTTGACAAAAGTATTGGTTGAAATATGTCAACTACACTAAATCTTTCACCCATTGTGTTGGTTTTTTACCTAGTTTTCATGTGTTATTTCTATTTTAAGCTTTTTTTATCATTTGAGTTACCTTTAAAATGAAATAAAAGGATGGCGTAGCTAAAATTGATCAAGCAATGTATCAGTTTTATGTGGGATAATGGATGTTGATTTTTGGTGCCATTTAGATGATGATACTTGTGTCTCCGAGTATAGGTTTGAATTGTTTTAGTTGGTTTATTTAAGGTGCATTATGTGTAAATTGTTTACTTACCTGAATACCTCCGGATACCTGAGAGTGCTCCAAAAGAAAGAGAGAGGAGGGGAGAAGAATAATTGTGTTGCGCAATACAAACTGATGGATTTTGCTAATGTTACTAACTTTCAATTTCCTCTTTCTGTGGAGTAAGGGCTGGTTATGGATCAGAAAGTGAAATGGACGACGAAGCAGCGACTGTGAGCCTTCCAAGTGACCTTGGTAGGGTTAATCGGGCATCAACAAAAAGTGCTGTCAAGCTTCAAGAGATCGGACCTAGAATGACTCTTCAACTCATCAAAATTGAAGAAGGATTGTGTTCAGGTGGAGTCATATTCAGTGAATACGGTATGACATCTCATGTCATTTACATTTTGTTTAGTTGCAATCAATCTTAATGGAAATATAATATGCCCTTCCTTTCCTAAGCATTTAATTCTCTATTTTCTGATTGCTTCTTATTTTCTTGAAGATTTCAATTATACAATTAAACCTCCAAAACTATTATGTGAGTTTCTTTACTTAAAAAGAAAAAACAATAATCAATTGTCTCTACTTTTGTGAGGAAACTATTTCCTTTTATTCAATTCAGGATAAGTTTACGATCTCCGGCAACGTGAATTGAAATTTTTTGCACCATCTGTTAATGATGATATTTGAGCCATCATAGCAAGCTGATGCTACTTGCATCTTTAGAGTCACCTATCTGGAGTTATTACTTGACCAAATGTCCTCGGGCTCTGCAGCAATTTTTAATGGCTTGCCAATTGTTAAT